GGCAGTGTATTATGTGCATATAATAACTGAGACAAAGAAAAACTTCCATTGAACTCGACATAAAGCCTACTCATATGAAAAAATTGCATAACTTAAAATTATTGTTTATTTATGCAACTTCTAAAAGACTGTAGAAAAAAGAAAAAAGAAAATGGGCAAATTATCATCATGGCCATCCCAACATCATATGAAGTCATGGTGGACATAATCTCAGGATGAAATATTACAACCATCCTTCAGTGGACCGAGAATTGGTTATCCCCTCTGGTGATGTTGTAAGGAGAATTAAATTATATCAATTATCAGTAAGATCCAGACCGTAAACATGATCAGCAACACAGTGAATTGGTGCATACCTCGACCATGAGGACACCAGGCATTATAGGGCGTTCAGGAAAATGTCCTGGGAAGAAGTTATCATTTATCGTAACATTCTTGATCCCCACCGCATATTCTCCAGCCTTGTATTCAATTACTCTATCAACCAAAAGGAATGGGAACCTAACATGCATACCCACATGCATAGGTATTAGATAGTTTAAAAACATTACAAACCAAACAAGTGCATAGTTATTTCAATGATGATGCTTATCGATCTCTACAGCACAACACATCATAAAATCAAAAGGCCATGGTACTCGATTTCCATTTTGGATATTCAACATTTCAACACCCTTTTCAGTAGCAAGTAAAACTTGTTGCAGATATGCATGAGATCCAGGGTACAGTTGCATATAGTACGATAACACAGATCAAATATCTGGAATCCATAAAGAAATGCAGCTAAAGTACTATGTATCAGGAGTCAATATGGAGATGGAATTGTGGCGACTACAGCAGCCTCTACAGCTAAGACAATAGTGAAGTTGCAGCAGCCCTTGGTGTTTTGGTGCCAAAATTATACTTTGGACTTTTCAGTAAACAATCAGCAGAAATTGCACTACATTTCAGGTTTACATCAACTATCCACCTTGCCTGTAAACACATTTTCTGATTGTTTCTTTCCATTGTTTAGAAACAACCTGACTTTACGCCAGCTCACAAGGAGACCAAACTGCTAATCTATCCTCATTATCTCAATGCTTCAGCTCCAAATCTTGGATAGCCTCTTAACAATGTGTACAGCTAAGCTCTATGCACATGGGCCTCTAGTCCTCTACAAGACTACAACTGCAGAGATCTAGAGGTGTGAAGCAGCAGAGTTAAAGCACTGTATGCTCACCTCTTCTGGTAAGTCAATACACGGTCAAAATTTCAATTACTGCAAGGTGTTGCATCAGCCTGAGAGTTGCGTCGTGCGATTGCAATCCCAAACATGTCTGAGCAACCCCAAGAGCAAGGAAGCAAAGCAAGCGGCCGGCACTCACCTGTGGGGGAGGATCTCGCGGATCTGGTTGATGTCCATGACGCTCGGGAAGGGAGGGAACCCTGCAGCACACAAGCAAGAAGCAGCGCGAAAGCTTAGAGAAACCCAATCAGCAGGAATGCACAGACGAGACGGGTGTAGGCATGAGGAGAGGAAAGGGGCTGACTTTTCTCGATGGGGACCGCCTCCGGCGCCGTCTCCACGCTGTCACCATCCGCAGCGCGGCGAGTGGCGAGGCGGCGGCGCGGCGCCGGCGCCAGTGCCGGTGCCGCCGCGACGGACGCGGAGAACGCGCGCCGGGGCAGGGCCAGGTGGCGCGCGGCGGCGCGGGCGGCCGGGAGCAGAGGCGCCGCGCGGCAGGCCGCGGCGGATCTGGGCACGGTGGCGGCCTCCATTGGCGCGGCGCGGCGCGGTGGCGGACGGCACGATGCGCGGGGGGAGCGAGCGCGAGGTGAGCAGAGCAGGAGGAGATGGCGATAGGAACGAGGATGGTGAAGGGCCAAGGGGAGCGACCGAGGTTTTGTGGGGGCTTTGCTTTGGGAACTCCGTTTCAGGTTGTTGGTTTTGGTTTGCTTGGACTCCACTTGGCTTTTGCCACTTCATTTTGTCACTAGCTACTGCTCCCTCGGTCTTAAAAAAAAAGCAATTCTCACTTATCAACGAGTCAACCAATTTAAACTTTAACTAGAGTTATATTAAAAAAATACTATTTTTTAATAAAAATAAATATCATTAGATTAATTATATAATATATTTTTATCATAAACTTATTTAAAGACATAAATGCTAATACTATTTACTATAATTTGAAGTTGAGCAAAGTTGATTGACACGGATCCTATAGTTGTATTCTTTTGTGGATGGAGGGAGTAGCTAATAGTGACCATATATTTTGCCAACAAATTCCCCTGGAGATTTCAGGCTCATTTCTTTGGTATAAGTTAAAGTGATACTATATCAATTGGAGCATGTTTGATACCGGCGCTAATTGCTAGTTTAGCTAAAAATAGCCCCAGTGCATCAAACAAGATGGCTAATTTTTTTTAGTCTTCAACTAGATGTTAGCCCACTAGCTAGTCAGTCATAGCTAATTTAAGCTAATTTTTAGACCAATTAGTAACTAGCTATAGCTCTACCAAAAATGCCTTTATAATAGAAACTGGATAGAAATGGCTAGTTGGACAATAAGATATCCATATTGAACGTAGTTAGAACAAAGCCTTTTTTGACCGGTTATTTGCATTCTTTTGAATTTTGTTAGAGATTACTCGATAATTTCTTAGAGATAGGAGATGCCACTAGTTAAATACAAAGAAAAAACCTCAATCATATGCTAGTCAATAATAACATACTCATGGTACAGGATACGGATTGTCCAATAAATCCCTTTGAATTGTGTGTGGAAATGAGTAATTTACCCATCGACACAACGGATTTAGGTCTCTTAATCCTTGTCTTCAAAAAGCACCAAACAAAAGTAAAGATTTGTCAAAGCAATTGCTTTCAACTTAGTCAGTTTTCCATAGATAATTTTTAACAAATGAGCCTTCCAGACTCATCATAAATTTTTATAGATAAAACCATTATCAAATACAGTATCTGAATCCTTTTTCTCTTTCTAACTTTCCTCTTTCCAAATAACATAGTTTGCCCAGACTTTATGTCCTCCATTGGTGCGAAAAAGAATGAGAATCCCCCCCCCCATTGACACGTGGCTTAATCCCGATCACATCCTGAGACAATAATAGAGCGAATAATTAAAAGAGTACTCCACCACGAGCAGCGAAAAGCACGCTCAGTTAATCCTCACTCGACGGCTCCGTCCTTGCTCAGAAAAAAGCCAAACCACTCAAAAATCGAATCTTTTTTTCTACCTTTATAGCTCACTCTGTTATTCCACTATCACCACATGTATTCAAACTCTAAGAACCACTTTGGTACGGCGCATGGAAGCATGACTCAATTAAGGACCTCTTTGGTAAAGCCTAAAAAAAGCTCAAAATAACACGGGAGCATAACTCTAGTAAAGTACTAGACTCCTTTGATAAGGCTTATAGGCAGACAACACTAGTAGCCTTAGGAAAAAAGTTTATGTTCCATGTAAGAGAGCTATCGCCGAAGCTAATATTTCTCCAACGAGACACAATGCCATCTTCTTCCTCATCGATCCCACCACTATCCTTGGTCCCCCTATCTCTGTTCTTGAAATCAGCACCCATGCATTCCTCTCTCTGTAGTGGCCCTGAGCAATGCTTTGCGTTTGTGTCAGACGAAGCTACAGAGCCTGTTCGTTCGTTGGTTTCAGCCAGTTCAAACTAGCCAGCCAACAGTGTTTTCCTCTCACAAAAAATCAGCACCAGCCAGTCCAAACCAGCACCAGCACCAACCAGCGAACAGACCCATAGGCTCTTCTGCAAGAGCTTCTCACACTCTGAGGGTACGGTTGACTTGGACCTTTCAGACCTTTCATGCCGACATATAGACCTAGGTCTTGTTTAGATCCCATCAAAATTCTAAGTTTTTTCACTCTCTCTCTATCACATCAATTTTTGGACACATACATGGAGCATTAAATGTAGATAAAAAAAATAATTAATTGCACAGTTTTGTTGTAAATCACAAAACGAATCTTTTAAGCCTAGTTAGTCTATGATCAGACAAAGTTTGTCAAATACAAACGAAACGTGCTATAGTGTCCGAATTGCAAAAATTTACTATCTAAACAAGGCCCTAGGAAAGGCCTAAAAAAGCTCTGACTCTCCGAGGACAGTTCCAACAACGGTTTTTTAAGCTAGCTCTAAGTATTTTTCGCATATTTTAATAGAAGAAAGAGAAAAGCTAACTCTTCGTCAAGAGCTAAGCTCTTACACATATTTTAAGGTTGTATGAGAGTGTCATATAAGGCTATTCATGTTAAAGTTATGTGCTAAAAATTAACACTATTAGAGAAGTTGGCTTAGAGCTAGTAAAAAAATAAAAACTCTATCCAGTGCCCTAACAAACAAAATACCAAAAACATCTTTTCGTAAAGCCACCAACGAGTCAGAACCCTTTTAAAACTAGAAGCCTGGCAAAAATAATAATAAAAAACAACCTTCTACCGGCTCCTCTCAACGATACTCTCAAAAGCTATTTTTGCTAAACTTCGACTAGATAAGCAGGAACCAGAGCTAAAGTTATTTTAGAAGGAGCTGGAACCCTACCCAGCTGGTCTTAAATCTGTCAAGCAAATAGGATAACACCTCGAAATGCATGAAAGTCGGATCTTTATTAGATTACACGAACAACGCAATCTCATAGCCCATCCTGCATTCTGCAACTGCAGTTTCAGCTACAGGTGGTAACCGTTACAGGCAAAACACACCATCAGGCCACACCATCTCACGACCAACCATGTGAAGCTAGAGAGATCTGCAATGAGCTCCGAAAACATACAAGGTGCATCACTGGCATCTGGTAAGTTGCAAACGTGTTATATATACAAAGATCATTACCCCATCATTGCTAAACACCAGGTACAGTTGTGATATCGTAGGGCAGCCATAGATGCTATAGTTCAAGCTATTAGCCTGCAGGACCATATACAGAAAGTGGAAGAAAAGAAAAACACTGCAATCCATGTACATGTGGAAAATCACGCGGTATCCTGACTACCGCCCAAAGAATCCCTTCCCACAGGGACCCAAGAAGGGAGCTGATCAAACAGATCGGTGCTTTGTGCAAACATGTAGAGGCAGAAGATGCATAGGGCTGGGCACGCAACAAAACAGGGAGTCATTAGTCATCATTCTTTTTAGAGCTTAATTTCTCATATAGAAAAGCTTAATTTCTCATATAGAAAAAGTTTTAAACAAAGCATATACACAACAAACAGAGAGCAGGACAGCAGGGGAAGGGTTAGTTTGCTTTGTTATTACCAGCATAAGCAACCGCAGCACCTGACACCACCCTTCCCAAAGCAGCTAGGAAATACAATGTAAAAACCACCTGCAAGGTCGTAGATCAGTGTAAAGCACAATAAGTAAGCATGACAAGGAGGAGGGCCAAACTTATTTTCTTTTCTACAAAATGGTTATAGATCAGTGCAATCCAGAGAACATGAATTTTGCAATTAGAAGATCAATCAAAACCACATTATAAATGACATAAGGAGCCTTGATTCTTTTCTCTACTCCATTTGCATGCCACAGAACAGCTCGGACAAAATGATAACTCACTAGTTAACATGCTTCAAATGCTAACAAGTTGTAGGTTTAATTAGCATGAGCTAGTAACACACAAATATAATAGAATTTCAACATTTGTTTTTGTCTCAATCCTCAGGGACAACATATAAAGTCAAAGTTTTGACAGCCTACCTTGAAAAACAGCTTCTTGTCATGTCCAGTTGCAGCCACCCTTAATACAGACTCGGCAGCTCCTATTGTGTTAGCCAAGGATGCAACTATGCTATTTGCCATCTCCTGAGAGATCTGCCATTCTAGAGGATCCACAGGCACCCTGCATGCAAAATCATTAAAGACAAAATAAGGCACTGCAATACCAATTTCCATTTATATAAATCATAAACCACACGTAATTCGTAAGAAAGGTCTAGCTAAAATGATGGCGGTTGTCATTCTTTAATTGACCAATGACTTTGCCAATTGCCAATTGTTGCCAACATCAGAACTACTTTATTCAGGAAAATAACAAGAACATACCATCCAATATTATATGGTATAGCGTAGCCCTATTTTTGAAAACAAGCCTACTGTTTTATTTACTAGTAATACTTGAGGATAAATCTTAAGAAGTGGGATAGTACCAGCAGGAAGAAAGCACCAACAATTCAAAATTCAGTAATACATCATTAAATTTAACGGGAATACATCTAAGTTAAACTGAGTTCAGCACAACCTTTTGTTGGTAGAAGCACCCCAAAAAAGTGAATCAGATCAGGTAGTGGTGGGTAGTTGCCATATTCAAATTTTCTAATCATTCTGGTAAAAAAATCAAATATATTGGAAGTGATTTATTTACAATAGTTAAGAACTGGTGCAGAATTATTCCAGTTCCAATACTCAGAATCGGTATAATTCTTGCCAGGGTATGACAATGTAAGCAAGATAATGCTGCCTTATACACTGATATTTTTGGTATTATCACCACAATGAAGAAATAATGGAATTTTCTTATTTGAAAACTCAAGGCAAATCAAACTAATCCAGTGGCTGATTAAGTTTTGAACCTTTTTTCTTTCTAATCTGCAAATTTGTGTGTTTCACTTCAACCTTTTTAGTACTTTTAATGTGCTCTAGCATGTTCATTCTGCATTACAATTTACCATGATATTGGATTATTGGTTTCTAAACAGCAAAGTTGGTTGCTAGCACCAAGTTTACCATACAACAAGCAAAATGGTATATTTGATCAAATTTATACAACTAGCAAGCCGGCTGCAAGTATCTTACACTCATATAGGACTTTTCATATTCATACCTATGGACTTTTGCCCAAAAATATTATAATTGGGGACCTAAAGTTGATTTGCTCCATTTACTTACCTGTCCCTTTCCAGCCTTTCCCCAGTTTTGAACAGCCTACTAGCCACTAGCAGCATATACTCTCACTAGCATACGTACTCCTACGTGGACGAAGAAATCAAGAATCCTAGCCAAGCTAGATGCCATCTGGCAGATAGAAATGCCTAGAGGCCAGAGGGAGAAGCTTAAAATTACGAGTTTGTTTATTCCACACTAGCTATAAGCTACCTTCGAAGATGTTCAGGAGCTTACTGATTAGTGACCATTTTTTCCCAGGGAATACAGTTAAAAGCACAAGTAGTAGTAGAAAACTGGTGCTGGCAGGGAAAGAGAAACCAACAGCCAGTAATGCTGCATTAGTAACAGGAATAAATAGATATCAATTTGAAGTGTTCAGTTGATAAAAAAAAACTTGAGAAAGTGAATCAGATGAGTGCCAATGGATGTGACTGATAGTTGAAGAATTCTATTCAAATCAGTTTGCAATCTCAAAGCATCCGGAAGCAATAGTAGTATCCTTCAGAAGTGGTGCAGCCACACCAAGGAATGGCCAAATGGGTTATTCTCTTGGATGGATATGAAATAAGCAACCTAACTCCAGCCAAGCGTCTAAAGCCCATGCTCTTTTAGTTATTCTCATGTGCTTTATGTTTGTGTATTCTCTACACAAGCAACCTGCTGTAGGTTTCTACACATAACAAAAATCAGTTGTTACTGTTAAACTTACCAACAAAACAGAAACTCGATGAAATTTCATTCCAGTAACACCACCAAGAAAATCGGTCACCGGTATTATACACATGCATGTCCTACTTCATACCAAATAAGCATTTCCCCAAATGATCCCTGAAATTGAGGAAACATAGTTGAATAGCCCCTCTTTATTTGCCTACCTCATTTCCCCTTTTGTTGCATCATCTACTAGCCATAAGCTACAACTACCAGAATCATCTACTACTAGCCTGCTACTGCGAGCCGAGAAATCAAAGATTCCTGCGGGAACAAACCATGACACCTAACAATCGTCATAAGTTCATAAACAACCAGCAAGCTGAACCAACAGCACAAGAAAAACAGAACTGCTTCGATTGAAGCGCGGAACTAGCAGAAGGAAGCGGATGATAAAGAAAGGGGGGCTCACGAGATGTGGAGGTGGCGGAAGAGGAGGCCGAGAATGGAGAGCGAGCAGAGGAGGACGAGGAGCACGTCGGCGGCGAGGGACGCCACGCTGGCTCGCCGCACCGCGCAGTGGTAGTAGACCAGCCCCCCGCACACAGCGACCACCGCCCACCGGCCGGCCCCCGTTCCCCCTCCGCCTCCGTTCCCTCTCGTCGCCGCGGAGTCGCCGTCGCCGCCGGTGGGGTCCATGGGCGCGTCTGGTGGCGGTGCCCGGCTTCTTGGACCGGCTCCCTCTATCCCACCGTCCTCTTCTACTGGATGGGCTGGACCAAGTCATTTCATCGTTGGGTTACTAGCCCTCTAAATATTTCGCTTGCTGGGCAGCCCGTCGGCTTAACGGTATCAGACATGGTTATTAGTCATGATAAGAATAAAATAATATTAGTTAGCTTATAAGCTACAGAAACGATCAAGCGAACATGTTCCACATATGCCGTGGACAAGTCAATCAGCGTGAAAGTACTTTTAATTATTGACATATTTGGTTGGTTGGCAGTTGTACATGACTGGTGGATTTTATTAAACGATTGGATTTGCAGTTGTACATGAATGGTGGAGGGTTATGTCTACTGGCTGGTTGTAATGGATTTCTAGTAAAATCCACTAGTTCAATTTATTTACTTAACACTGCTACATAAATTGTTTTCACAATTGGCTAAAATCGGTCTTCATAGGCGGGTGCTCCATCCGTTGCTGATCATCAGGTCTCTGTAGAAATTGATTTTTAGAGATGGGTGAATTTATAATCAGCCTTAGAGATCGATTTAGGGACGATTGCAAATCGGCCCACATTATAAAAAGCGACTTAAAAAAACAAAAAAAAGCAGGGCTCACACACCACCATGCCCCGCCGCCTGAGCATGGCATTACCATAGCGCCACGCCTGCACCTACATTCGTGGCCGCCGTCACGCCCCCGCTCGATGCTGTTGGCCTCGTGCGCCACTCATCACTTGTGTTCACACGCCACTGCTCACCCGCGCCACCTTGGGTGCTGAGCTGGCGCTATTAATAACTCGTCATGGCTGTGTTGCCTACCATGTCTGCGTGCCTGACGTGGCCATGCTGCCTGCCATGTGTGCTTGGCCTGTACATGGTCTGGTTAATGCAGTTTGTGGGTAAAACCAGCCCAAGCCGTAAGAGTTTCTGTTTCTACGGTTTAGAAACCACGGGTTAGACGGCTTTCACGGGTTAACCAATAGACAAGTACAGAACTGGCCGTCGAGCGAGGAGCCGAGGACGCATACGTGGCGGTGGTGGCGCAGGTGGGTCCACGGAGGGGATAGCAATGATGGATGGCTCCTCCTCGTCTTTGTTGCCGCCGCTCGCGGAGACGGAGTGGATTTGAGTGGTCCCCGGTCGCCACGCTTTGTTGCTCGACGCCGGAGCAGGGGTACACGAACGAGATGGTCGGGGCCGCCTGTTGCATGGGCAGAGCAAGCACGCGCACCAGCTCCTTGCTGTCCTCCACGCCATACAAGGCGGCGGAAAGCGTGCGTTGCGGCCGTGCCAATCTATCGTCTAGCCGCCATGGAAATAGAAGAGAGAAGCCGAGAGAATCTAGACAGGGAGAGAGATCTCAAGAGTGTCGTAAAGAATTCGCGGGGCCCAGCGCAGAGATTGAAGGCTGAAGCGAGCAATTCGATGGAGAGAGATCTCCGGCAAGAGGCGATGACCTTTGTCTTCCCCGCCGCCGCCGAGTTCAGACTAGCGAGGAGGACCATGATTTTTTCTTTCCTTGTTTAATGCCTGGTCAAGCGGGTTTCTCGAGTAAACCCGCAGACCGATGCACCCCGCGTGGAGTGTGTTTGATGGTTCCTGCTGGGTCTGGTCCGGGCCGGTATCCGGTTATGACGAACCAATGAACGAGGTTAATGTGTGAGCCACTCGCGTGAGGTGTGGGCTTTCGTTGGTTGCCATGTTCGACTAATTGGGGAAGGGACAGAGAGGAAGGTAGTGGTGGTTTCATGGAGGAGATAAGATTGAGAAAGAGAGGAGGAGGGGAGTTGAAGATAAGGAGACGAGAAAGGTGAGAGTGAGTCCTTAAGGTAGAGATAAGCAGTGGTAAAACTATATCAAATTAGAGGAGGTGCATAGACATGTTTCACTGGGGATGTATATATATGTTGGCACTACAAGAGACGTGTCATCTTATGACGTTTACGGTATGACATTCGATCAAAATGAGACTAAGTTAATTAGTTTATGACGTTTTTTTGGATGCATTTTGATTTAGTGGCGAAACAAGATGGATGTCACAAAAAGGTCATAAAGTTACTCCAATTCCATTCAATGGAAATCTTTGTTATGTCATATACAAATATATTCGGCCCACTTGGTCCAAGTTTTACTCATGTTTTAAAATGGATCAAAATTCTTTCTAGCCTAGTTCTATTTTTTATTTTTTCGCACGCTAGCCCAGGTGTAATAAGCCAAATAAAAATCACAAGTTTAAAGAAAGCTATGATTTTGAATTGACCTTGTTAGCTTTTGTTTTCCAAAAATTTCTAAAACAAGTAATTTTTTTTCCTAGATCACCTCCTTCGGTCTGTGTCGAATTTAGTTTCTGCACTTTTTTCTCAGCCTCATAGAAAATATCTCTATATATAATATTTGTGGTGACCTAGTATAGAACATACTAGACTTGATTTATTGTTTACCTTACTTTACAAATATAGTACTTGAGTTTTATATTCTGGTGGAGTAGAATATACCTTATTTTTATTGAGATTCTGTGATGATTAATTAGCTTGAGCAAGTCATTTCATACAATAAAACGAACTGCTAGCTTGGCATGTCAAGGTGAGAGCGGATGATATCTCTCTGTTTTAGATGATACTTCTAGACTTTTAGTGCTAGCTGCAAAACTTTGTTTGATTGTATTTGTAGATCAGCTATCTGGTTTCTTGCTTGATTTCTTCCAGAAGTACACATGCAAAGTGCCTTTTTGGCTGATTTTTTGCTTCAGCAAGTGACTGTTGCTTCTCATGTAAAGGGTTCAATTTTCATTATATTCAAGCGATTGTCTGGAAAGAATTTCTGCAGATTGAAAAACATATGATTAACACTGTTGTTTCGATTAACTGGTATAGCAGTAGTTTGGACTAATTGGACTAACTAAACAATGCTTTTGATCAGCATTTTATTATCGTGTTAATGCATAGATATCTACCTCTGGTTTTAAAAAAGTTTACAAAATTTTGAGCCATACTTGCTGGATTTTTCAGTTATGGCAATGGCTAGTGGACTCAGATGCAATGGCAAACGTTGCTCAAATACTAAAACAACCTGCCAGCAACATGACACCATGTCTGGTCATCTGGTAGCATTCTGTCCCATTCCCTTGTTCCCTTTGCAATCATATAGCTGCTCTAAAAAGTCAAACAGAATTTGTACTATTCTCTTGTACTTGTGTGTTTGACTTGTAGATAGTCGACGGACATTACAAAACTAGAGAAGTAAAGCTAGTGTTAGTTTCTCACATTTTAGTAATGAAATTCTGTTCGATTTTGCTCAGGCATAGTTACCGTTTACTGTTTCCCTTATTTTGGTTCAGAATAAGTTGCTGTAAAATATAAAGAGTAGAGCTGCACTATGAAAATTTCTTATCTTTTTGTGAAACTCTATTTAAAATTTCTATCCATGGAAAACAATAACAAGTACAGAATATTTTTTACTTAAAAAAGATTTTGCGAAACACTAATATTGAAAAATTCTATATCTGAATGTGTGTTGCTTGCTTATCTTATGCAGTTTATGCAGGCTTGACGAGGATTGCATTGTGCAATATTGATGATTCAGTAAGTTCTGAAGCTTGGGAGATGGCTGTCTTTTCATGTCATTTTGATATGGACAGACTTGTGGCAGTGAGGTTCTAGTTCTGTGAAGTTCTAGCTGTGTCGGTGTGATTTTGGTGATTAACATGAGCTTTTGGTATGATTTTAGTCATCTCTTATAACCTGAACCGATCTGAGGATGTACGACATTGATCTGTGGATATTATGAGTTGGTCACTTTTGTTGAGCTAAATTTGGTGATGAATGTAATGATCATGATGTAAGACTTTGTAACCTGGTTGTTATGCTATTTGAATAAACATATGCTTGCTTATTTATTTTTTAATTTGGATTATGTCTGTTTGGGCTGGCCTAGAAACAGAAAATGTGACGGGCTAGGCCTAAAAGCATGGGACGAGAAAATGCAAATTTGAATGTAAATAAAAAATTAGGCTTAAACGGGCTGAATTCATTTGGCCTAAGAAGTTGTGACATAATCAGAAGTCATAAATGTTTTTGACTTTCAAAGTCAATGTCATAACGTTATGACATGAACATCTAAACGTCAAAAGTTGTAGTTAAAGATGCTCATCTTTTGACATTTGAATTTTTGTCAACTTGGTGTCACAAATGGTGACTTATTTTTCAGGTATTATGACATATATCAAATGTCAAAAGATGGCACATTTCTTGTAGTGTGGAATTTTAATCAAACTAACTGTAAACATATAGGGTGAGGGGGGAGGGAGGTTTGCATTTTCCCTGCCTTGGAGATAAGGCGACCCCATTGTGCATGCTGCCCACTGCCCACTAGAAATTTCAAAGTTGCTGCCCACCAACTTTCTTTTACCATGATATATTTCCAACTGTGGTTGCAACTATAGTGGCGTGAGGCGCGAAGGGCTGGCTGGTGGGCGTGGTGAGTCAGGTGCATTTGTGGCGAGTGTGGGCAGTGTGAGGCACGAAGGGCCGCAGGTGAGCGCAATTAGTTGGCCCCAACATGGCCCCTTCGCTCGGATGACATGGCGAGCTTGGGCGGTGCGAGTCAGAAAGGGTGACAAGGAGAATGCGCGCGACTAGAACGAAGAAAGAAGAGAAAGGGGAGGCACGAAGAATAAAGTGGTAGTGCCAAAAATGTCATTCATTGTCTATCAACTCAGCTGGAAAATATTATTTTAATGGGTACGGTGTCTTTCAGTAAATATGTCACAAACCATAGTGTTTACATGCAAATTGAACTTTATTCCGTGTCGTGCTGGCCACACGACATCACTTTTCAATATCCTATGGCAAACTTTGCTTATAGTATTTTACATGATCACAGATATTGTCATCTGTACAACAACAGATGAATGCCACACAGACTGTAAAACATACTTTCTATGACAGTTATAGAGGACCCATTTCATACTCT